GCCCTCCCCCCCCCGTGAGCCCGGGGTTCCCGCCTTCGCGTGCAGATCCCCGCCCCGGCCCGGCCTGTGCCTCTTCGCCCCTTGCTGGTCCCAGCGGCCTCTCCGTGGCCTCCACGCCCAGTCTCTCGCCTCCGGGAGGCATTTCTCACGTTGTCCTTAGATACAAACCACAAAGCTTCCACAGCTGCACAACCCACAATACAGATGTGAATAAAGTACGGTAACCAGCGCCCAAGGCATCCTGCACTCGCTCATCCCTCCTCCCCACCACTGAGCCCGGGGTCCCCACCAGGACGCCCACCGCCCGCGGCCCCATCAGGGAGCCCTGCCCACCGTCCCCGAGGAGGCCCCTGGATCCGATGCAAATGGCCACCACATGGAGAGCGGGCTGAGTCCTAATGGCCTGCAGCCCAGCACCCGCAAGGGGCCTGGGTCCCCTCCTCCTGTGTCAGGGGCCCCTCAGTTCCTGTCGGCTCACATCTGGCCTCACACTGCCCAGGTCTAAGGCCCGGCCCAGGTGGGCGCGTGGGGCCACTCACGTGGAGTACCCCAACTTGAGGGCCAAGTCGCCGTTGGCCATGGGGGTCACGGAGACCACAGGCATCTTCCTGCTGTCCTTGGCGTCCAGGAAGCCTGGGTCATCCGACATCACCCCAGCCGTGTACCAGATGCCCTGGGACTGTAGGGAGGGTCCCGGGAGAGACATAGGCAGCCCCCTGCCCGAGTGCACCCTGACCCGGTGTGAGGGCAGCCCGGACCAGTCCCCACCGAGGGCCTGAGGAATCGAGGGGTCTGCTGCCTTGGGCTCCGAACGGCTGGGGGCCGGGTCAGTCCAGCCTGACCACACCATCTCTGACCCAGGCTCAGCTCCTACGGGGAGAGGGCGTCCCGGGGGAGGGGCCCGCCTGGCTGGCATCCAAGTCGGCCTGGACGGGGACCTGGGCCTGGGCTGGGGACACCCCGCACAGGGCGCACAGGGAGCAGGGCCTTCGTGCCCAGGAGATGTCCTGGGGCACTGGCTGGCCCCCTGGCAGACCCCCTGGGATAGGTCGAGGTCAGGTTTTGGCCGCAAGGACCGAGCGCACTTCCTCCTGGGGGTGGCCGGATGCTGTGTGGCAGGGGCGGGTGCGGCCCTGGCAGGCCCTCGGGTGTTGGCCCCCGTCTTCAGCTCAGGCACAACCCCCCACTCCCCTCCTCCAAGGAGCCCTCTCAGAAGCTCACCCTCACCTCTGAGCCTCACAGCCCCGAGTGCCGTGCAGGCTGGTGCTGCTGCACATGTGGGCAAGGAGGGCCTAGGACAGGGGCCTGAGCATGCGCCCGGCCAGGAATCTGGGTGAAGCAAGTGTGAGGGGCAGGCTGGGTGGGACCACACCCCTGCGGGGGCCAGGGGCCTGGGCCGGGGCAGACAGGCAGGGCTGTGCTCCGAGGCCCACGGGGTGTATGGGGGGCGCTGCGGGCACTTCCCTGGAGCTGTGCTGACCTCTGACCTACCCCTCCCCCCGCCCCCAGGGTGCCCTGCAGAGCAGAGTGGGTGGGGGAGTCAGGATCCCAGGGAGCAGCCAGAGCAAGCCAGGGCAGCGACGGAGGACCGACTCCAGGACAGACAGACAGGAGCCAGGCGGCTGAGTTGCTTCTAGATTTTATTGTCAGAGGCAGGATAAAGCCGAGGGGGCGGAGTGGTGGTTGGGGAGCCAGAGCTGGGGACTCGGGGTCACGGAGAAGATTGGCAGGGCGGGCGGCCAGATCCTGAGGGCTGGGTCACCTGCCTGAGAGCGGGAGGGAAGCTGGAGCAGCAGCCCCGCCCCGCCCCGCCCCCCCCTCAGGGTCTGCAGCCCAGACCACAGGGGAGGGGAAGCCCCTCAGGGTCTCCTGCAACCTCCCCACCAGATCCCGGCTGGTCCCAGCTCCTCCTGCCTCGCTGAACCCCAGGCCCCCCCCCTTGCACGGAGGGTGGGGTGGTAGGGGAGGCCAGCTCGCAGCCCACTCACCTACTGCTGCTCCTCCAGGCACTTATCTGCCAGGAAAGACGAGGGAAGGTGGGTGGTCAGTGCCTGGTGAGGGCCACTCCCCCACCGCAGCCCTGGGGAGCTGCTGACCCCCAAAACCGTGACTCCATCACTCCCACCCCTCCCCCAGCCGCTGCTGCAGACCGGCTGCCTGACCCCCAAGGCCATGGGCACTGGGCCTCGGGGAGCCCACATCCGAGCCCCAATGGGCTGCTGCCCCGGGTGCCCGCAGTACCTGCCCCACACCGGACTGGAGACCCCTGAATCCTGGGGGCCGACCGGGACCTGGCCCACACGCCGGGTGCTTGGTGAATCCGGGGGCTGCAGGCCATGGTGGGGGGACGACAGTGGCCCCCACTGTGTAGGCCACGTGGCTGCTCAGCGGGCGGTCTGGCCAGATGACCTCCGACCCTCAGCCTCCCGGAACCGCCTGCCTCTAATCTGACTGCACCCCCTCCCGGGGATTAGCGCCCTCACCCGTCTTCGGCAGGAAGACAATGTCCTCCTCTGTGAAGCCCTTGGCCCGGGCGAAGGTGGTGAATTTCTCCTTCACAGCCGCCCGCGGGGTCTGGGTGCGGCCTGGGCAGGACCGTGGTCTCCGGAGCCCACGGCGTAGAGCAGAGCGTACTCTCCGTAATCCGTCTCCTCCACCCACACGTCCTGCGAGCTGCCCCAGTCTGGGGACAAGATGACCACAGTGGGCGACCCTGCCCGACCTCTGGCCTTGGGAAGGGGCGGGATGCTCCCCTCTGGCTGCCTTCCCAGCCCTCCCCCTGCCTCCTGCCTGCACAGCCTGGGAACTCTGCCAGGGGCGGGGGAGGGGCCCCGTGTTCCCCAACCAGGATCCTGGGGGGCAGCAAACACGCAGGCTCAGAAAATGAGGGGTTAGGGTGTAGCCTCCAGCCCTCTGCTGGTCGGAGGAGGAAGAAGACCCGGTGGGGAAGCCATCCTCCCAGGAGAGGATGGGGTGCTGCGTGCCTGCCCGTCCAGCAGGGTGGGGGCCACAAGGTCTGGGGAGACCCCACCGGGCAGGGCGGGGCCCGGCAGGACTGGCTCCCGGGTGGGTCCCGGGTTCTCTCCCGAGTGGGGGGCAGGTCCAGGCCAGACACTGGGAG